TGAAAACTTGATGACACCTTATTAGGCAGTTTATCTCGTATCTACGGTCTTCCATGGCTTTTCATGTAGTTTTCCTATAAGTATTTACAGTATAAAAAAATAATAACAAAAATATTTTATGCCGGAAAACATCTTTTGGTCTCTAGATATTCTGAGATAGCAGTAGTCAATAACTTTCTATTAAACTTTTAAATCGGCGAACGACAAATTTGAAACAATATGTGTATTGTAAATGTCATAGTTTTTTAATTCACCAGCTATACAGGGAATTCAAAGTACTGACAGTACGCCAGTTATTCATCCTTAACATAGTACTACTGCATCATACTGAAATTGCTTTTAGCCCGATACTTTCCGGCAAAAGAAAGGATTTAGTTTGCACTAACCCTCAGACGAAACATGCTTTTACTAACAGATTTTATTTATTTCTAGGACTATATAACAAACTCAATAGGCTGCTAAAAATGTATAGTGTGAGTTTAAATAAGTGTAAACTAATGCTAACAGAATATTTACAGTCCCTCAATTACTCAGATACGGAAAAATGCTAGAAGTTTTAAAATAAAGTACTTATTTTTAGTAAAATACTTACATATTAACTAGTATGATGTTATTTTTGTTTAATTATTTAGGCCAGGTTGTCCTTGCTTAGTCTTACATTATGAAATACGATAATCATTTATAATTATATCCATTGAATTATTTTTTTGCTTTGATAGCCTGAAACACAGGTTTAAATAAACCTAGTTCAGGTAGTCCCTAATATTTAGACTAAGAACGTTATTTCCTCACATATGTATTGTATTAGACTAGATTAAGTTAACTATTACGATTGTTATTATAAAGACTTTTTATTACTATAAAATTTGAGCCATCTGTAATTGTAAACGTGTTCTATGTTTTTTAATAAAATTTTATTATTTTATTAATTGGTTGATATAAGTCGACTATCTTCGGAACTCACTTAAAATCCGGAAACAAACACCAACACAGCTTAATCAGGGTTTTACAATTGATGATAACAATGATGATGATGCTGACGATGATGACTAGTCAATAAAAAATTTAAACAAACGTAAGTATCATAAAATGATAATCAATTTCACATGATGATTGATTACCCATAAAGATAAGGCCGTCTGACAAAATTTCTGATGAAAACCGTTGACTGTTCATACATGCATCGTCATAAATTCATGGAATAAACTGAAAACCTGAAAAATATGACGAAACAAATTAACAAAAACAATAACTGATTATACGTCGATTGCCGAGGGTTAGAAAGTAGAATAGCTTTTTTTCGAGATACGGGATAGTCATCAAATGCCCTCTTTTATAATAATGTGGGAGAGCCATGCTTCGGCGCGAATAGGTCGGCTCGACCGGAGTGATACCACGGCCTCACAGAAAACCGGCGTGAAACAACCACAGCGTTGTGTTTCGCCGTGTGAGTGAGGTTGTCGGAGGCCTAATCCTTCTCCTCGCCCAATCTCTCCTCAATCCCTAAATCTCCAAATCCCTAATCCCTAAAAGGTTGGCAACGCACTCGTAACTCCGTTGCGGGTGAACATGGGCGGCGCTGATTGCTTCATCATCATCATCAGCCCTTTTCAGTCCACTGCTGGACATAGGCCTCTCCTATTGCACGCCACTGGGATCGATCTTCGGCCACTCGCATCCAGCTCCTGCCAGCCATCTTGCGCAAATCATCACTCCACCTTGCCTGAGGACGTCCTACATTACGATTGCTTACCATCAGGTAAAAAAAACGAGGGAATGCAGACTCTTATTCACTAACCCCCTCCCCCTATTCCTTTTCCTGGACGAGGCGGCGGCCTACCATATGTCCATATTGAGCCGCGACCCCAGTAGTGTAGCTGAAATATTTTTTTTATCTGTTATGAAACTAACTATGCACAGGGTATTGTTATCAGGTGAATTGAACAGAAACGTTTGATATATTCTGTTAGAATTAGATTTCCAATACACATCAACATGGTCTAGGAATATTTCAATTAAACCTAAATAACTAAAATTCTATTAACCTTTTGTTAAGCCATTTACACATTAAAATAAAACCTTGTTTAATAGCTTACCTAATCTTATACATTTAAGATAGAGTTAAATTAGGTACATAGAGTTTTTTTGATAGAGTTAACTACCCTTTTAGATAGAGTTAAATTAGAATCTTAACTTTATTTTTAAAACATCAAAACCTAAAGAAAACAATTTCTTTTTTTAAAACCTTTTGTTAATAACTCTTAGACCCATCTAAGACTTTCCTAACACATCTAAAGCGGTTCTGCATACTCTAAACAACAATACCCTGATGTGGCATACCATCGCAAGTCCTGTGAAGATACAAAAAAGCCAGTTTTCATGGAAATTCATATTAAAACCGGGATTCATCATTGAAAATAAAGTGACCATTAAGAAGGCTTCCAACTTTTGTGTTTAAAAGACCATTGTAACCTCTTCCTCGTTTGCCTCTCCTGAAGCCCGAAGTGACTTACGAGTACCTACGTGGGTTAATATCATACAGTCGTCTTAACAAAGTTTTATCCAGTTTTCAATATTTACTAATCAATACCAATGATACATAAATAATGGAAAGGTAAAGAATCGAAAATTTTAGCTACAACAAAACCCTGCAGGCAAACAAATACATGCGATATACGGTGGAATTTTCAGTTCAATAGTCACCGGTCACTAAGGAATCACAAGTGCGTTACAGACCTTTCAAGAAAGGAATTTTTACGCTCCTTCATTACAGGCCTTTTTCGAGGCCCTCAATTTCTAGGTAATTGCTAAATATTGATAGGGTTTTTTTGCCCCCTGTAAAATAAGACTGATACATAACATAATGAAAAATGTATATGTGGCAATACAAGCACCTCTACCATAATGTCGGCGAGGACAACTTTTTGAAAATCCTTTTTATACTTTGTTTTGTGGGAGCATCTAAATCATCAAATGTCTTCTCTCACCCAGGGTGACGCGGGAGGAAGTGTCAGTCTTTGACTGACTAGCCCCGTACATTCTCCTGCTCCAGTCAGGTGCCGCAGTGCCGCATTGACCCACAAATCCGTCTATCGTGATGAAATGTAAACCTATAAATATGTAATCAAAAGTTTGGAATCACAAATCCACCTAGAATTGTGGTGTCTAAACTAAAACATTCCGTGTGAGGAGAGGCACATAGAAAAGAGTACCCACACAAGTATAATAAAATTATGTTAGTTTATAATAATTAATTAATCGTCGAAAGAGATATATAATAATCACTCTAAAACATAAATTAGGAAGTTATAATGAGCGTTAAATATTCTTATCTCTAAAATATATTTTCAAACAAAATAATATCATTGTTGTTATCGTTTTATTGATATTTATACCTACTAATGTAACTGATATTCTATTCTTAATTTTTTTAGTTCCATTTTCTCTGATATTAATTTATGCCCGTATTTCTTTTAGGCGTAAGAGTCTCAACTAAGTTTTAATAAGGTACCTAATATACATACATATTTTTCACAATTATTTAACAACTCCCACTTCTTTAATGGTAAAATTTAAAAAATATCGTTTTAATCAAACATGTGTAATCAACATCATATTATTGTGAAAATTTTGTATTTTTTTACTAAAACAAAGTCTAAAAATGCAGACCAAACCTGAAACCATTAATATCCACATACTTGCCATCCAAACTTGTCTTCAACTGTGCAAATTGTAAACATAAACACAAACTACATCATTACGTAGATTATACTCGTCTACGTGAAAACTTCAAGCGTTTTCCGTTTTCCCAACAACTATACTACGAATATTAGTATCATGTTATTTGTTAAGTGAACTTGAACCTTATTATCTACCTTTACGATTGCTAAAGAAACCTATATAAGAAGAAATTTACAAATACCAAATTTCGGAAAAAGAACATCGAGCCTTTAATTTTTTTTTTATTTGAATTTGCAATTCCATGTCTATCCAAAGATGACACTTTAAAGTTTGCCTTTATAGGTATGACAATTTGATATTATTATGTAAACACCTATTATTAATACTTACAAAGTAAAGTAGTGTTTTGTCAATAAAAATTATCTTGTGTACCTACGTGCTGAACCTGAAAGTTGAAAGGAGGCTTTTATTGCAGCCTGATTGCAACACTATGGGAAACGTTAAAGAATTAAAAATTTTGATAAGAGTCTAACACTTATTAGACTTAGGTATGTCTATTTTCTAGTCCAGTCTAGGAAAATAAATTGGTTAGTACTATAAAATGTTTTTAGTAGGTATTGCAGGAAATATTTGTATAATGACATGTAAGTTACAAAAACCAACCATAAATAAATTGTAAATAAAAATACTCATTTCAGGAAATCGAAAGCTGAAAACTCTGTTGCGATTTGTCGATTGTTAAGTACAACGAGTAATGTTAGAAATTCTTTACAATACTTTAAATAAATTACGCCAAATGACCGTTCCATGTGATAAAATACATGGTCGCTTGACTTGAATGTCAATATCATTAATTTATGTAAAATTCTATACGAATCGTGCTTCAAATATTCTACACGCATAATTAACAATTTTGGGGCTCCGAAACGCGCGATTGTTCTAGCTTTGATTATGTTGCCCTCTGGCCACTGAAAATTGGGCGCCGTAGTAAATAGAGTCGGGGGCGGCGTCCTCTCACAATAAACACATGTGCATGGGAATCCGGCGTATTATTGACATTGACATGTGGTAATGTATTTGATGAGTAAATAGCGTAATTACGAATGGTGAGTAGAAACAAGGTAGAAAGGCACACGGTGGGGCGGAGCGAGGCATGCGCAGCGTCGCGCGCGCAGTGGGCCGGCGGAGCGCGCGCGTGCCAGTGCCTCTCGTCCCGCGTCCGCGACCAGCCCGCGACGCGTCTGCTCCCGCGCCCGCGCCCGCGCCTGCTACCGCTCAGCGTCTCACCCGGCGGCGGCCTTTCTATAAAGACTAGCCGGCGCGAACACTCGCACGCAGTCACGACCCAACCACTCACTCGTGCACCCCGCGGACACGCGACATACATTACCCCGCGAAACACTTGACTCGCAACTCGCCTCAAGGAAGGAAGCAATCATCACCAGATAAACATCTCAGCAACAATGGCAGAAAACGACTGGGGATACAGCGGCGAGAACGGTGAGTCCATCCTCAATGTTAAGTGCACTGAGCGGCGCGGACCGGTTTGTTTACATCGAGGCACGTGACACCATGTAAATAAAACTCCGAAAAGCTAGCTTCTCATTTTTCAATCCGGATTCAGTGATAAAGTGTGTTTTCTGAATATTGTGTTGTTACGGATATTTACTTAAAGCAAACACAACAGTGTATTTATTCAACAATGATAATTTGGATGCACTAGTATGTACTAAGTAGATGCTATCTATTCAAGAAGGGCTCCTATTCCAGTAGCCGTGTTTACTTTTGATAACAGTTAAGCTGACATTAGATGATACTTTCGCTATGCACATCGCTGCAATCGGAGCAAAACCGTATTATTTATCAGTACATTACCGTGGAAAGATAAAATATGACAGTGAACAACTAAATAAGTTTGCTATATGACGTAATGTGGTTTGTTTCAAACTTTATCTAAATTGGTTTCATTCATATATTTTGTAACACCTGTTGATTTCATGATCCGAACATTATTTGGAATGCGATTACGTTATTTGTTAAATTAAGTGACACGAAATGAATGAATATCTGTAACTTATTTACCGAACGGCTATCTGCCTCGGTTATTCTCAATAATAACTAATTACTTGGTATTCGTACGTCATGTACTAAGGTAAAGTTAACGAAACTTTATTGCTTAGGTACGTGTTGTTGACTTTGTTAATTCCTAACATACAAACGTGAACTTTGCGGCTACACGCAAAATGTCCTTTAACACCGAGATAAATGTTTATTTGTAATAGTAAAACAAAAAAGTTTTTACGTAAAATCAGAAATTGGTGCCAAGAGTTGGCGTGGAGTTGCGTGAGGCGATGGCTGGCCTACTTAAATCCGTTCGTTAAGCCGGTTCCACTAATGAAACTTCTTCTGTACTATACGATACACCAATTGCCTTCTTTGTATTAACAACTTTTATCGTGAAACGCTGGAGGCAAACCAGTTCTACGCCAAAAAGATTCATAAGCCCGCAAATCCTTATACGTCTCGATTGTTCAGAACTCAAAACACAGACCTGACCTGATGTAACAAAGTGCAGGAAAATGGTAAAAATACTCGTGTCCTAAGGACGGCAATTCTAAGGATTTAAAAATAAAGTAAATAATCTCTTGATATTATTGATCTTATTTATATTTCCTTGTTAATAAAATTAATATAAGTAGTAACTAAGTATTAAAAATGACTTGGCAGATTTTATGCTTAAGATGAAAATATAAATTGCTACACCCTATCCCTATTACTTAGTATCTTTTCGAAAATTAATATGAAAAGAACTCTATCTATGTACCTACTTACATTAAAAAAAATAATGTTGATCTATACAAGCGGAGATACTTTAGAAAATATTACTGTGAGATATGTAGACATATCAGTGCATCTATCATACTATGCATCTTAGAATGACGTACTGCAGAAATATTTCAAATGAACTGCAATCAAAACCATTCAGGCAGCAAGTGGGTAAAGATGTTTGTCCCGTAATTCATTAATAGTACAAGACTTCGTTTAAATGCGGTTTTTCTAACGAAATCTAAGCATTCGCTGAAGCAAATTCATTATCATGTTAAGTAGTCTAAGAATCATGAAAGAATTCACGGTTGTCGCTTTATTTACCGTGACTAATGTCTTATGATGTTTTCCAAAAATCTTTAAAACTATATTGTACAATTTCATTTCCTTATTATCGCTCAGTTTTGTTACGAATACGTTTTCAAGACATTTTTGTTAGACAAATTAACTTGAAGTCGTCACACGTTTGTCTATTTTGTATTTCAATGACATTCATCAATCAAACGTATTGTCTCGTTCCTATTTCCTTTTTCATTGAATCGTCGAGTCGAGCTTAGTTAAAATGATTACAATTAATCTTTGTCAAATATATTTTTAAGTACGTCATTGGAACATCTTAAAGAGAATAAACATCAATACAATCTAACTATTGTACCTACACAAGAAAACAAATCGAATATTTTAGATATGTACTCGAATTTCACAAGCTGCTCCTTTTATAGAATTGATTGTTGTTATCATGATAGTTTTCGTTACGGTACGGAAAATGGGAAGCGTTTAAAATTTTCAGAGAAGAAATAAAATAAGCGCAAACTGAATTAAGTCTTCTAAAATATGAATAAACTAGCTACTCTCACGCGGTTTCACCCGCTGCTCTGCTCGGCTCCATTTAATCGTAGCGTGATGTTTTATAGCCTATAGCACTCAGGAACATTGTAGCTATTTGTCAGTGAAAGAATTTTGGCAATCCGACCAGTGGTTCCACTGATTACCCCCTACATACAAACTTACAAATTTTACCTCTTTATAATATTAGTATATATGTAGATAAGAGCAAAAAAATTAAGTATCTCTAATTCTGCATTAAGAGTAAGTTATCTCTTTTTACCTCTGAACTGTGACCACATTTTTGACCGTAACAATAGAGGCCACACAATGGGTTTCGTTCCAATGACTACCTCAAAGCGAAATAAAGAAGTGACAGACAACACGATACGCCACAATTCGTACAATATCAAATTTACTTACCTTACTTAGATACTCCTAAAATTCAATTAAATAAAGAGAAATAAGTTTTATACAATCGCTTGAAATAAAATGTAACTAATTTGAATTGTAAAATTGCAAACAACAGCTATCAATTCAAGTCAATACAAGATTACTGGCTGACTTTCTTTAGGTTGTATTAAACAAAAACAAAATAGCTAATTAACGTCGCGTTCCGCGCGCTTTTCAAAGAGCCTTCGTTTCGGACCATCACAGATGGTCCCCACTAGGGCCGATGTCCAGCCGTGGTTGCGGATGCCAGCACAATACGGTAGTTTCCAACTAGTCAAATTCAATACTTTATCCAAATGTCAAAAACGATACTTTTCTATAAAAACTGAGTTATCAGTCATTGTATTTGTGCGTCAAATAGCGTACTTATTTCTTAAAAATTAGCTGAAAAATATCTAAAACTTAGTGTATCGATCGATCTATAGATAAAAAGTAAGTATAGTTATTTTAAAATATTTTATTGTATTGAAACGTCGAATTAATTCATTTTTGACCTAGGAAACTACCCAATTATGTACCGCGGCCTCGGGCCGGAGCAGAAGAAAAACGGGGTGGTTTTCACTTTTAGTCAGTAAGATTCTGACATTGCCTTTCGCTCACCCCACCTAGGGCGGAAAAACTCATTGGATGATTTACTCTCACAAAAAAAGTTAACAGAGTTATTAACGCTAGCTAACAAACTTCTGTAGTTATGTACCTAGATTCTATTCTTCTACTAGATTTCCTATTGTCTTCTTAGTAAATAACGCTTTAATTTACAATAGTTGTTACCTACCTATGTTTTTGCGCACAACAATTCGCTTTGTTACAAATTTTTACTCGCTTTACAGCTTGTATCCGTGTTTCTGCATAGATTGTTCAAACGCTTCACGATGACAATAAGACGTGTTTTACATGCACCGTTACACTCTTATCTGTGCAAAGGTAACATTATTTTGTCATGGTGCATTATGCACAACCACGAAACTATTATTTTTCATACAATCTTTAATACGACGAAGAACAATAAAAACGTACTTACATATGGGTTACAAGTTATAGTTTCATTTCCTGCGGCCGTAAAATTGCGAAGGCTGCATAAAGATGAATGTTGTGACAGATAACTACAAAAGCAGTCTTTTCCAACAATGAAATCGGTCATATAATTGTTATTTAATCACTATTATTTATCTAATTGCATTTTTTGCATTTATAAAGATTGAATTGTTCAGAGAAAAAAATGTCAAAAGGATAAATACTGCGCTCTAATAAGCACTGCCCCGAATTGTGCCGCTGCTAAAACAATTCTAAAACCTATCGCGTACAACTGAAGGTTCGTTTATTCATGGACACTTTACGTTTCGTAATCGTCACATACTTAAATGTTTATGGCTCGTTGACCACCAACATGACAATTTGACCCGTTTACTCATAATCAAATAAAAACCCAAAAAAGTATCCGACATCTATTTCAGTTGTAGCAATAAATCTTTTGCTTCCGTTTTATGAATGTGACGAGTTCTGTATTGTTGAGAACATTGCTAGTTAGTACTACATGGTAAATATATTATCCACGCGTTCTTGTAACACATTGCAGGATCCTCAAAATCCAAATAACATTTTCGTTCAAAGCCCTCGAAAAATCCACGTGTTTGTAGACGAGACAGACACTTTGTCCTCCTCCTCAATCAATTGTAGGGTGAATATGGAATGAATAAAACATTTAATAAACATGCAATCCATCTCATCTGTATGAGCCTCCATTACCTAAGCGCTCAGTCTTCGCGCACAGCTAAGTAATTGGCCAACTAAATAGGTATGAAACCATTAGGTACAATAACGACAGTTTGGCGAACACAATGACAATAAATAGCTGTTTAGACAATAAAAAAAACCTAATTTCTTTAAGCAATTTAAATGTACTTCTATTACGTACTACATAAAGCTCAATTTTCATAAAATTTTCAGTTATCACACATCTTTATTTTTAGAGCCCACATGATTTTTACAAAAATCCGAACTATTTTACATAACCGTATTCCACATAACGTGAACAACATAAATAAATACAATGTTTCACGCTTTACTGTAACAGTCAATGGGAGTTATTTCTTTAGCAATTATTATACAGAAGTTAATCGATAAATATTTGATTCTAGTTTCATCGTATTTGTTAGTCCGCGAATTTGGCGGCAAAAAATATTTCCACATGACTAAACTCGAACAAACAAAATGGTACACAATAAATGTTTACACGTAGACACACATAGCTAACAGATAAATTAGTCAGTCAAATCCGAGTGATAATTTACTTCACCATCTAACATTATCATGGTAATATCAGGATTTATGAAAATATAATAGAAATTTGAGCGTGTATATTAAATAAGTTGGTTTGAAACTATGCAAAGGATGTA